TTTTTTGTGTCATTTCCGACCGAACTCTGGGTAATTGTGCCATTTGGGCTGAACCACCTCTGAATCGCCTGTTACAATCTACACTCGATACATTTCTTCACTAGCTGTCGCCCTTGGATCACATAGTATTCCTAGCGCAGATGGTTCAAAGTAAAGTTCGCTCCCATTTCATGGCGTTAACGTTCTACTTCATGTTGATACGCACTTCGCAGTTTATCTGGTAACAACATGCTTCTTTGGAAGGATGATTGGAAACTTTGTCTTTTCTGGCAAATCATCTTAATAACTCAATCGCGTGTTCGATCGAAGTAGTCCTCCATCACGCTTCGGCGCAATCTTTAGTAACTCACCCTTGCTGGGAAGGCGCTGTTTGTCTTCAAGTACTCTAATTTCTTCTGGAAAACATTGTGTCGTCTTCCCTTTGACTGGATCCTGTGCTTTTGAGTACTTGTTTGGGTCTGGGTTACTCTTCGGTTTACGCCAAGGAGTGTCTGCGTAGTAATTTTGAGCATTCTTGTTAAGGTTCTCCTCCTCCAGATTCCGTCCTCTTTTCTCTGATAAAACTTCCTTGTGAGATTCCCGAGCTTTTCCAAACTTACTTTCTGGCCATCCCTCTTCACCTTTGTGTAGAAATTTGGTTTAATGTCACCAGAAGTCGTCCGTGATTTATTAACTCTTGAACTCATACTCCCCTGGTTCCTTTTTAAGCAAGGTTAAGTTTACTTGGAAAGTACTCTAGTGGTTGGCTGAACCAAAACGAAAACTTGTCTTCAGCAATCCACACTATCCCCAAAGTCTTTTTGACCAGAAACTCTTTCTTCTCCAGATCAACTTGTCTGTTGAGGTGTGTCCTCGATCACTTCAGTTTTCTGAGATATCCATTTGCGAATGTGAAAAACATCTTTACTTCCAAGTTCGGTTAACTGTTTTCGCACCTCCTTTGCTATTTCAACGCCACTGAAGGCATGAGGTCGTCCAGGTAACTACCCTTCTTTACCACTTCAGCTGAGAGAGAGTACCCTGCTTTGTGCTCATCTGCATGCTTCTGCCATGCATATTGTGCACAGAATGGTCAGTAACACCCCCCCCCCCCCCCCCCCCCCCACCCATCACATATGGAAACTCCTCCCTCGCCTCCTCCTCCCCCTCTACCCCCCTATGCTCTTATTCGTTTTTTTTGTTAAGAGTCAGACAGCATCACACAATTTTCTACGTCCCCGAAGCGCTGAACCCCCCCCCCCCCCCCAACACATATCTTAAGAATTCTCTGGCTCCTTACTCTGATCTAAATCCCTCCACAAACATCTTCGTAGTTTTCTGTCTTCAGGGGTTAAAGCAAGCTGATGGTACATCTGACTTACGTCACCTACAAGGGCGACCAATTTCTTCAGAAATCTGACAAGAATACTTAACTTGTCTGTCTGCAATTTTGCTCCAGGCAATGCTTCGCTGTTTTAACTCTTCCCCCGAAATTCAGCGGGGGCATGAAAGACAATTCTTGTCTTCGTCGTATACCTGTCAGGTCGCAGAACAGGAAAGTGGGGAAGCAACCATTCTGAGGTTTATGCATGTGGTTTCATTTGGCAATACTTCTCCAGATATTCTTCGACGACCTTCTGATAAGCATCTGCTATTCCTGGGTCCTTTACTAGTTTTCGCTCGGTTGATTTTAGCTACCACATAAGGATCATTCTCGAACTTCGTGGACTTGCTCTCTTTGCACCAAGAAATCAAGGTTCCACATGCTTCGTAAAATAGATAAAGGCGTTGTGCTGTTAGGTACACAAGATCTTTTGCACCAAATATGAAAATAACCGAGACAAAAACCTTAAAAATTAGGATTCAGTTCAAAAATATTTAGTCCGGTCAAAAAGCTCTATTCCATCTCCTTGCCCCTCCTTGAACAGGGCATTAAATATTTCATTATTCTGAGTCACAAAATTTCCGTTATTTTTACTCACTACTGAAGACTGAGACTATTACATGCAAGGCAGCCGGATTTTCACTGGGGACAAGGTTACTGGGGTCGGGATTTGCACCTGAAGTAGTACTGGAGATTTTCGTTGCTGTTTAACATAAACAAGAAATAAAAAAAAACAGAGCTTGTTGAGTGTAACAAAGAAAAATAAACTGTAATAACAAACAGCAAAGAACAAAGCGACTTGAGTATTGCCCATATTTCGAACGGTCAAGCCGTTCTTCTTCAAGGGATTTATTGAAGAAACGGAAAGTCGTTGCAAATATATAAAGAAACCTGTGCTTAGTCATTGTCATTGAGCAGATTTAAGATAAAACTACCAAATAGCAACAAATCGATGTGAAAGTAATTTCCATCAATTTCTGCGAGTACTCTGGTGATCACGGCAGCTTCAGCCGTTTATTTCATTTTTGTTAAGTTCATGACTGTAGTAACTGCCATCAAGAATAAAGGACAATTTATATCCCTTCACTTCTGAGATTTAATTCTTTCAGTGTTCGGGGTTTTTTTTAGTTTCTGTTTTCGTTTTCAAGAGCCTATTTTTATTGTAATAAGCTCTTTTTATGCATTTTTTTTTTTACAATATTTTGTTAGTTGATAAAATGTTTCACCATTATTAATTGTCAATAGTTTGCCTTCATTTTTAATTAAATTCAACTCTAACATCGTTTGATCTCGTTTATTTTGAAGAGTGAATCATACTCAGTTTTACCACGTGGAGTTCCTACACCGCAACTTAGTTAAGCTTTGTCCCCCACACTCCAATGGCAAAACATATTGGGCAGACTTTCACGCTGTCTGTGAAAATCGGTGTTACCTTATTAGTTCCCAGTATTCGTTCCTTTATTAATATTAAATAGTGGAGCATTTCAACGCGGTATTTTTCCATTTGTTTGAATACGTTAATGTGAAGCGTGTTTCCAAAATTAACTTACATGAAAAGCCAAATTAAACGACTTGTTTAAGAGATTTGTACTGATAATTCAACTTGGTATTGTAAATTTTTTAGCAGATGAAAGAAAAAATATTTTACTGTTCTAAACCCGGCAAAAGCCCAGCTATTAAACCTTAATCCCTATAATGGGTTTCTTTTTGCATGCGTGCAAGTAGAAATGAACAAAATATCACCTTTGTTGTATTTTCTATTGTCTGCAGCTGGTGCTTTCCGAAAAAACGTCACCAAACCATTCATTGGATTTGTTTGGTTTCCATGTTTGCCTTAATACTGCGCAGGACGTCTGTGTAAACTAGATGACCGACGTGGAGGCTTAATGTGAAAAATATGTAATGAATCTTCTCAGTTTGTATTAACCTTATTTGAAGGGCCGTGAATATTTAAACTTATGTAGCTGCATTAAAAAGGTGGCTACGCCAGAGAGGCTTGATATGATATTTTGATGACGGTGGAACTCTAAGTGAAACACGCCCACGGTTGAATTTTCTGAAAGCAGGTGTGATGAGTTCAGTACTCGTTTTTTCCACAGTCTAAAACGGGGGAAGTCTAAATCAATCGATGTAAAGCAACTTATTTTCAATGAGCCGCAAAAGAGACCACCAGTAGTCTTGTATTGATGAAAGACTAGGGTTCACTTATTATAACTGCCTGGCAGTACGTTTTTGCTGATCGATTTGCCGTTGTGCAAAACTCACGTTTTGTTAAAAATGGGGGAAAACTACCTTCAAGGAACATGTATTTTTGTGAAGGTCATGGATTTTAGCATGGAGGAAACTCGACTTGTCTACGTTTCCAACGTAATAACCTGTATTTTCAACGCCTGCTTTGCCCTATCAGCAATTACTGGCAATCTACTAGTTCTGTTTGCAATATGGAAAACGCAGCTGAAGCTTTCCCCTTCTAACATCCTTCTATCCACCCTTGCCTTCGCTGATCTTCAAGTTGGCCTGATAGTTCAAACGAGTTTCGTCGGCCATAAACTTGCAGAGATTTCCGGAACCGGCGACTTGGCATGTTACGCACGCTTTGTTAACATCGTTTTTGGCTACGCCACAACGGCTGTTTCATTACTCACGTTGACGGGGATTGCGATTGAACGATTTTTGGCGCTCTACTTTCACCTTCGATATAACGAAGTTATAACAAAAAAGCGCATTCTTATAACCGCTGGCGTTTTCTGGGTGTTAGCATTCGTTGTGACTTCTGTTTATTTCCTGCAAAAAAATGTTTTCGGTGCAATAGTGATTACTTCCGAGTTAGCATCCATCGTAATAACCTCTGTGTCGTATATCAAGATTTATAAAATCGTCAGACGACATGAACGTGAAATAAATTTACAACGAAGAGTATCGGTCGATCCCAAAGCTCAAATTGAGTTGAATATGAAGAAATATCAGCGATCTACTTTTACAATGGTTATAGTGTTCATGCTCTCCTTCGTGTGTTACGTGCCGTACTCTGGTGTCATGGTCGCCAAACTTAAGTATGGCTTTACAGCTAAAGTAAAAGTTGCGATTGACATTTTTTCGACTGTAGTATGTATCAACAGCTCACTGAATCCCTTGATATATTGTTGGCGGATAAGAGAAGTCAAGCTAGCTGTGTGGGCAGTGGTTAAGCGCAACAGTGCTGTATCCCCCGTGCAGAATGAACAAAGCATGCTGACTCGCGCTCCAGCGACGATGCATCTGCGAAAAAGTTTGAAAAAAAGAAACACGCCGCACCCGAAAAAAATATGAAGTGTGGTAAAAAATAAAAGCCTTTTATTAAGGAAATAACTTGATTTCAGCAAGGAATTGCAGTGCAAGTCCTTTAATTTTTCTTAATGTGTTGACAGGTACTAACCCAAGATTGTTTTCAGAGAAATTTTTAAGTGCACCTGAATATTGGCCTTATGATGTTGGAATATGAATTTGTTTTTTGTCCGACAGGTATTTAGGGAAATATTTTATTTCTAGTTTAACTCGGAGCTAGCCTCTCTTTTTCAAGGGAAGGACGAGACCGTCATGTTTATTTAAAAACGCGAACCATTTTTATTGTGAGAAAAAAGTGCGTATTAAAAAATAATAGTTGAAGGCAAAGTTTATTGGAAATGCGAATTAAATAAATATAAGGGCCCTTAATTCAAGTTTTAAATACAGTGCATATGGATTCATTTCCCCGCAGGTTAAAAAGTTTCTTTCAATATTATTACCCACATTGTGAGCTGGATATAATAACTTGACCTGGCTGGAAATTAAACTATTTGCCTGATATGATTCTAAATTTAACAATCCGTTAAAAATGAGACAAATTACGATTTGTCTGTAGTACCTGTCATTTTGAAAAGGCAGAATTTCCATCGGATGTATTATTTTCCAGTCATTTCTCGAGCAAAGCCCTAAGGGCTTAGACTTACCAAAAACTTAACTTTATGTCACAGATATATAAATAAATTCTATTTTCTTACTTGAGCCACCTAACGCTGAGCGATATACTTGGAGCCAAAATATACGACGTGGGTTTATAAACCCTGAAGTCAGTGATAGTTTACGTCGTAGGAAGTCTATTAAAGTGGTAAACGTTTTTTGAGTTGATTCTAAAGTCACATTTATGCGGGCCGGCTAAGAAACTCGGAAGAGTTTACACACTGAGTAAGGTGCTAGAAAAAAAATAGTTATAATATGCGGCTAGCTCTATTTTTCTGTGCTGCGACAAGTGATTCCATCATCTTTCTCGAGCACGCTAGCTGATATGTTTGTGGTAAAATAAATGATAACAGAAAAATATCGATAAGATTATCAAAGATGAAACAAAAAGGATTTTAAGACACGTCGCACAGCAAACGGTTTTGAATGGCTCAGCAGTGTATATTATCGCCATATACGCTAATTCGAATCTCTATTTGTCTTCAGAATACTATTTATCTATACTTTGATTTAGTCCTAGTTGGATTTTCAGCCCAACAAAACGACAGAATAACTCATTTTAAGACGAATTCAGCAGGTCAATCGCTACAAGCTTCACCTTCTAAACGTTAGAACGAATACAATCCTTGGCACTTTAAACTGATAAAATTGATCTTTCTTCTTTCTCAAGACAAATGCAACTATTAATATTCATTTTTTCTAAACCACCCGTAAAAAAATTAGTTTTCTCCTCAATGGCCTTATACCATCAAGTCCTCAAACGTCATCGAACGTCACCGATGGAAAATTGAGTGGAATGAGAACGACTAACAAGTCAGAAATAAATAATCTTTAACCCGAGGTACGAGGAGAGGCTCGCGGTCGGCTATTTTAAATACCTTTTAAGGGGCTCAGCTCTTCTGGTGTTTCACGGGAATCCGTGCCTCAGTTGTTCCTTGTGTTTTTCCCCTTTTGCTCCCAAGTTTCCTTTTTTTTTCTTTCTCGTCTTTTTTTATATTCATTCTTTTTATTATTATTAAGCGTTTTGAGGGATGAAACTGGGTAGTTGACGTAAAAATGATCAAAAATGCTATCACCTTTTTTAGCCACTTGCAATTGAAAGATAGCGCGGAACTGAATTCCTTTCCATAAAAACTTCGAATACTACATGGAAACGAGGCAAAATATATTTGTAGGAAATGGCTAATAAAACTCCCACTGTAAGAAGATTAAAATAATAAAATGTTGCGTTAATCGTCTGTATATAGTATTGTCTTATAGAGGGGCTCCCACGCAGCGCGAAGCGCGCGTGGGACAGAGCCCCATACTCGTAGAATATGGACAACCTCTTTTCGTTTGGTTGTCACGTGATTGACCGAGCGTACGTACGTACGTACTTTACGCGTATGCAGATTATACGGGTGGGGTAGGGGAGACTATCAAAAGGAGCGGAGGGGTGTCTCACGCGTGTCCTGGCAAATCCACATGTACATCTTTTATATTGGACATTTACAACATGGTCACTTGACAGCTGTCAAAACAGGATGGCCACTGACCAGTATCACATGACCATATCACGGGCTCATGTGTCAACTCATCGAGGTGACGTGATTTATTTGGAAGCTGTCCGCTGACCAGTTAATTGTTTTACTAGATTGCGATCAATGTTCAATCTCATACCTTCTAGCTCGTTCGAATAACTGATAATGTACACATTTTTGACATCAACAGGGAACTTAAGAACCACGACGACGACTTTGTCGACGACGACCGGAAGTGACTTACAGTGTACTGCGCCAGTGCGACCAGTAAATTTCGTCGTTGTGGTGTCGTCAACGACGCCAAACAAAGTAGAATCACATCGTAATGCAATCCACCAGCTTCGGCAGGTATAAATCCACTGTTTTAAGCGATTTTTGAAGTCCTTTGCATTTTCTTATCCTCGTAAATCCAGGTAGCTTTCCTTTTTTCTCCGAACAAGTGATGTTGATTGAAAATTCGACTAATGAATTGTTTTCACTTCGAAGAATGACAACAGCTGTGGAGGCCGAGCGTGCGAACTCGTAAGTGATAAATTTATTTGTACGTATTTAGGTAAGGCGAATCATATATCTTTAATATAAAGGAAATAAACTTTATATTTTGATTTATGTGGAAAACAGCTAACACATCAGAATGTCTCTTTTTCCAAATCTAAACTCTGACAGACACTCGGACTCGGTCATCTCATTCAGGTTGAAAGTTGAATAATCTTTGCACGGAAAGCAGGTGTTTTTCCACTCGAAAACGTCAGACAACACAAAAAATTCTTCATCGTCAATGAAATTAGACGTACGGCTTAAAAAATAAGATCTTGCATTGTTTTAAAAGACGCCATTACGAAAAACTTTGTTGCGAACGCCAAAAACACGGTTTTACATTTGTGTTTACATTCAGTGTCGTCGTCGTCGACCTACCGACCGACTGCATCTTAAGTTTCCTTTTTCCCGCCGAAACTGACGTTCTCGTTCCAGTCTTTTCCCAGTTAACAGACGTCGTCGTCGTGAACTTCGACATGGTTCTTAAGTTCCCTTATGTTCCCTTTCGACATGGTTCTTAAGTTCCCTAATGTTGACAGCTGTCAAAACAGGGTATCCGCTGACCAGTATCACTTGACCGTATCGCGGGCTCAGGTGTGGACCCATCGAGGGCAAGTATTTTTTGAAGTTATCCGCTGACAATTTACTAGTTTTCAAATGATCGCAGGTTCAAGTTTAATTTTTTTTAATTCATGCGAAATATGTTGTGTTTATGTGCCGCACAATTAAAATTTTGATTTCAAACTGACCTCGGACGCGAAAATTCAGCCAGCTATTACAGGCGCAGGGAAGACAGTTGCTTTTGACTTTGCTCACCATGGTCACGCGTTGGTCACGCTCTACGTCCAATTATTATGCTCTGATTGGTCAACATTTGACAGGCGAGTTCATGCGGAAAATTTATGCAGCATCTTGAATCTTGTTTTGCGTCAACTTGTGATGTTTTTAACTTGTTTTCCGTTTATTTTCAGTCGTTCAGTGAACATTGCTCGCAGGGGTACTCAAAATGCCGCGCGTATCAAACGCTTTTGAAGATTACACACCGATAAAACCCTTAAATAAAAATAAACATTATCAATGTTCATTCAACACTCGACCACAGCTCAAACTGCAAAAGTGCGAACCGGCTGGCCGTATAGGTGATTTTGGAAATTTTTTCCAACGGTTTAGGTAAAAGCCCACGCGTGCTTCGATCGTCCAGTACATTGAATGAGTGCAATTTGTATTGCAAAATTGTGAAATACTGCTTTCTACCGAGGTCTGTACGATAAAAACAGTGCCTCGTGGTACTGTTTCACCTCAGATATGATGTATAAATGGTATAACAGATTGGTTTTAAACGTACCGAGATTTGTTGGCAAGATTTTGTAAAGTAAACTTGTCGAAAGCAAAAATTTCGGCCTGATTTTTTTCCAGGCCTAATTAATCTACGGTGATCAAGAGCCATTATGGCTCTTAAATGTGATCGAAGATGATTTTTTGTAATGATGATGATTTTTTGGGTGTATATATGAGGCTATCAAATCGATGTAAGATTTGGTTCACTCTTAGGCTTTTTGCAAATTATTTTCCTCTAAAATCACTTAGCCTTTCCCTCAAAAGTCACATGAATTTGCTCTAAATTTAACTGAATTGTGGAATACAAGTTTATTGTTTGATTTAAATTATAAAGTTATTAATGGGAGCCCTGGCTAAATCTATATATTAGTTTAATTTTCTTGGAATGCTGCATTACCCGGCCTTCCTTTCAGGAAGAGACGGATTATAAAATGGCCTAGGTTTTTCCTTCGTCGTCGAATCGACCACTGCTCTTTAAAGCGCATGCCTGTGCTGGCGAAATATCACGTGATCGATTTCGGGAAAATTCATTGGCTTAGAGGCAAAGTCCGCTTGACATGTTGTCGAGAACAAAAAGCAGCTTAATTCAGTCGGTAGCGTTAACGTTGTGGTTTTGTTGCCTTGTGAAGAATCTTTGGGTTTTCTGTGGTTTCTTCTTACATGTAATCTGACGTAGGCTATCGTCATCTAAGCTCCACCACTTCGAAGGACTCTTTCCAAACGGCAATTTCACAAACTAACGTGAATCCTTGAAACGACAGGAAAATTGATACCTATGATCATGCAAAGAAGTTATAGGTCAAAATAAAATTGCACAACTGCCTTTAAAATACAGGAAGGTGCCACCTCTGATACTAGTCAAAGGTGAGTTCTATGCCGGACAGTTGATATCTTTTTCTCAACAGAGAGACTGGCTTGAGAATACCAAGAAACAGCTGAAGAAACTGTTTTCCAGTGGCGTATTCAGGGGAGGGGCTCCCCCTTATTTTTGGACCAAACTGAGGCCCGAAGGGCCGAAAAAATTTGGGAGGGAGACCACCCCCCCCCCCCCCCCCCCCCCCCCCCCCCCCACCGCCCGCACACCCACACGGCCACCCACACGCTGACCCCACTCTCCCCCATCCTCCCCCTCCCCCACCTCCTCTGCCACCCCCCCCCACGCCAACCGCACTACCTTTATTTTTTTTTTTCCAAAAGGAGGGCGGGGGTTGAAAAAACAAAAAACACAGTGAAAAAATGTTTTTCCAGGGGGGTTTTAGGGGGGGGGGCCCCCCTTTTTTTTTGGCCCAAATGGGGGCCCGAGGGGCCAAAAAAATTTGGGGGGGGACCCCCCCCCCCCCCCCCCCCGCCCTAACGCATTTCATAAGAGTAAACAGAGCTGCTGTCATGCATGTTAATCCTTCTCAAACTCCAGTTATCGCTGTGAACCAGCCGCTGTCTACCTTGGCAAAGGAAATTCAGTGCAGGCGCAGTGGTGCGTACGAAGAAGATAGCTTTTTATGCTTGGCGGGCTTCACGTGAAGATGGCGTCCTGGAATATGCTCGGCAAGTGGTTCACTGGCACTAGATGACTGGAAGAAGCTTGCAGTGCTGGAGTGGTGACACAAGGTGTGGCTGAATCATTGCTTACTGCAAGCCATCTTAGTCGAAGCGCACCAAGTCACTATGATATATCTCTACATCCTCATGTGTAACTATATACCAGGAGTATGCTTCTAAGACGGGCGAGAACGAATCAGTCAAAACCTTCCATAAATGGAAAGAGGACAAGTCAACCAGGAGTCCACAGTTTTTATGTCTGATGTGCTAGACTTGCAGTTGCAATAGGCCATTTCCAAAACCCTCACTTTCAAAACGAGGCTAAGTGCAAAACCGTTTTTGTGATAATAAGTTACATCTGCATGTGAATGAAAAATAGGCGTTGCTTTAAAACAGAGGCTTCGGGCGGCCCTGAAATGGCCTATTTCATGTCGCCGTTATGTGACATGTGGTACGATACCTCATTCCATTCTTCTTGACAAGGGTAAAGCGGAAACTGGAAACAAGACTAGTGGAGCCTGAGCTTTCATTATGAGTGGGACATGCGCAGTTGTCAGTGGTTGCCAGTACGTAATTAAACGTTAGGGTGTAATAACGAGATTTTTCCATAACTTATAAAAATTTATGTTAAATATTGAAATTCCTCGTAATTTTGAAGGGACTGACAAGAACAATTATTCCGAATTTGAGGGTTCGAAATATCGTTTTTATTTTTGCATCCCTTTTTTTTAACCGAAAATGCCGGGATCGCCTAACAGTCTTTAAGTTTCTAAATAGCTATCTAAAAACAGAAAGATGTGAATGCTTCATTTTCTTCTATTTCATTGTGTTACACGATAACCCGGCCACTGAGGCCGACAGTTCTGTCAAAAAAAGCTGCCTATTTTCAATGGTAAATTTACTTTAAGGAGGGATCTAATTAAAAATACACAACACATCTGCAAGGGAATAAATTTGCCAATTTCTTTATATTGGAGATACAATTAAACTCTAAAAATAATTTGCAAGCATCTTAACGATAGTTCTTGAAGAAATATAAAATTTGAAAGTAAATAAATCTGAATTTTTCATTTCCTTTGCTACTAGTTTACCATTCGATTTCAAGCAAATGACGTAGCGATGAAGAATTTGATTTTAATGCAGCTGTATGTATTGAAGAAATTAGAAGCGTGGAAACACGAAACTTTTTTCAGGAAGATGTACCTATCAGTAATATGTTAAGGTTTAAAAGAGTTCCTGATCGTAAAACCATGTTAAATTTGTCCAGAGTGAACTCTAAAAGTAGCTGTTTTAACTTGGACATAAACTTTGAAGCCGAGGATTTATACTCAACAAATGTTGCAACAGCCGTCCTAAACTCCGTTTTCTCGCTCACCGCAATTCTGGGAAACCTAACCATAATTATGGCCTACAAAACAACGCCTTCTCTTCATTGCCCAGCGAACACGTTACTCTGCTGTCTCGCTTTGTCCGATTTCACCGTCGGATTAATAGCTCAACCGTGTTTCGTGGCTCACAAAATTGGGGAAATACTACGGAACTTGGACATCTACTGTGCTACTCGGATAATCTCAGAAACATCTGGTTTTATCACGTCCGGGGTGTCGATTCTCACGCTTACTGCAATAAGTATTGAACGCTACCTTGCCATGTACTTACATCTTCGATATAAGGAACTTGTAACAAATTTCCGAGTATTTCTTATCGTTGGAACCCTCTGGATAACTATTGGGATCATGGCGAGCTTGAGATTCTTATTTAAAGATGGAAGAGAATACAATGCTGTAACAGTGCCTATTTTGTTTTCGAGCTTAATTATCACTGTTGTGGCATATACTGGGATTTACAAGCACGTCAAACGACATCATCGCTCCATTGAAGATCAAGAAAGCGCCAAATCATCCAGAAATATCCTCAGGTTCAAAAAGTCAACAGTCACCATGGCATATATTCTCATTTTATTCGTGATATCAAATGCCCCATTTATCGGTGTAGCAATAGCTCATAGATTCGAAGGTTACACTTATTCGGTAAAGACAGCTTACATCTATGTTTCATCTTGTATTTTTATATGCAGTTCCGTAAACCCCGTAATTTACTGTTGGAGAATCGCCGAGATTAGACGAGCTGTTGCTAAATTACTTAAAATTTTCACTTGCCGTCGTAATCACGCTCAAATTGTCGCAAATGATTCTGTCTTTAGCTTACAAAGCAAATATCAATAACTGTATCTACCTATAACAACGATGGCTAATAAGTGGCACTTTTTCAATTTATCTTTTAAGACATCTCAGATAATAATTATATATTATCTGTAACCATGTGCACTGGCAAGATTATATATAAACTGGGGCGTATTAGTTTCAATTTACCAAGCGAAATAAACTAGAGCTCTCTTGATTTTAAATGACAATTTGAAGTAATATCGTTACTGTCGTCTTTATGCTAGAGCCTATAGGTAATAGCACTTAACAGGTCATTTCTTTATAACGCCTGGTACATTTATTATGCATGCAGCAATTCCATACTATTACGCACAAAAAAATGATTGAATAGAGTGGAAACATGACTGCATAATAAATGTATCAGGTTATATACGGAAATCTTGCCCTAATTTTGAGATATTATCAGGACGGTCTGGGTCCGCAAGCTCATTAGGCTCTGGCTGGTTGAGTACTTTTTTACAATGCTTATTACTTTCCCTTCCTTATGGTGTAGGTGTCATTCTCCACAAAGGCTCTCTTATCCCTTCGGGAAATCCTCTTAACCTCTTTATCTTTGATCTTATATACCTCTTTTGTACGCTGAGTCAGTCTAGGAGACGTTGCACTTAGCAGCGTATCTTTGGCCTTTCTCATCTCATCTCATCGATTTTCCCCTATTAAGTCTTAGGTGTTAACCATTGCCTGAATTTCATCTTTCTAAAGCCTGAGACACTCTGCAGTTTCTTTCTACATTCTTATGATGTTACTCCAGGTTGTTTCAACAGTGTCCAGATCTTCTGCATCTTAAATGTCAAGTGCTCTGGAACGATTTCTAAGCTCAACATTGAACTCCCCTTTCAACACAGAAGCACAACTGCTTGTTGATGCCAAACACTTTGTGCTGCTGCTTGATAGCAGGTTTTGCTGGAAGTTTCAACCTGACCTTGGCCAGGTGGTGCGGTCGCTGCCAACATCTGTCCCACAATGGACTTTGACGACGTTGCCAATATGATTGACAGTGTTTCCATCAGCTGCGGATCACCAACTCAGTTTGTAAATGTCTGTGTGGGGGAGGATGGTTCCACCTATTACGCATCCGTTGTTAAGAAAAATTTCAACATGTCGTTCTCCGTTGTTGTTGATGGCTCCGCAACCGTACCTCCCCATTGCATCCTCTCTCCCAGTGTTAACTTCAGTAAAGTTGCGTAAGCTCACAGTATTTAAGGCAAACGAGGTCTCAAATCCAAGGATAGAAAACTTATTAGCGTATACAAGCGTTCGATTCTATCACTGAAACTTTATCAAGTGATGGAGTTTGACGTTTTGTGTCTGCTGATAAGATTTCCATCCTGGGATTTAAAACTTCGTTTACTTTAAATTTCACCATGACAGGATGGGTGAAACTTGCCCCGCTGCCAGAGCGCAATTGAGAGCTTGCTCGCATGCTTCTCATAAGCTCACAATGTTTATTGCCGCTGTTTGTGTATTATTTTTAAGTCGTGTGTTTACGTCCTTTATCTATCCTTGAAAACATCGCATCAGAAAAGTTTATGCAGATATGGCAAACAAATGAACATTTTTTATTTTCGTGTTTCTATCACTGTTGTAGATTTAAAGAACTCCCCAAATATGTACGCATTGCGGACACATTTTTCTCCACCGTCAGTAGAACCCAGTCCTCTTGTCGGAAGGTTCCCTTTGACGCGTTGCCAAGATCTGTTCTTCTTCCTGTGTTTTCGCTGGAATTCATAGCTTACCCAAAGGAAGTATTCTTCCGACACAAGGTGAGGAAATAATTCTTAAAAGAATGCAGCCTTTATTGTTTTAAAATATTAGAAAATACAGCTGATGTATTCTGCTCGCCTGGATGGAAGATACCAGCAAAATAATTATTAGCAAGGTGTCATCTCAAGCGCGCCGGTTTTCAAGGCTTACAATTAAGCCTAAACAAATCCGCGCTTCAACATTGTGTTGCAATGACCGGTGTTCCAAAATCGAGGTGCCGGGTTTTGTCTTCTCTCTGTTCTTATTTATCTTTGAAAGGCTTACACCTTTTGTTTGTGTAAGATTCCCTACTATCTAAACTGGCTCCCAGTCAAGTTCGAAGGTCTTCGACACCATTCGGCTCGCAATAAACTAAATTACCAACTCCATAAACATTTAAAACGCTCCAGGAATTTAATCTTCAACTGCAGTAATCGATAATGTGTGACACGTATAAACTTAAGCTTATATTCTTTCACTCGAAATCAGATTAAATTGTTGGTAATTGGCTTTGATGAGCAAAGTTTTTTTGAAAACGCTGGGTGACATGGTCATCTAAAGAAGCTGAATCTATTGTTTTTGTTCGTTGGCGCTTGTAATTCTTTGTTTCTGTTTGTCAAACAGTGCTCATGTGTACTGTAAAATTTTGTTTTTCATTTCGCGTTAATGTGTTCCAAAAACAGAAAATGCAGAGATACATCAGTTTATACATTTATCACATTATAAGATTCAAAGCTATATATGTTGCGGTGTTCAAATTGAAAGTGAATTTGTAATGTAAACATTGAATAGTGGGTCTTAAAACCACATTTCTTGTGAGATATTAAACTTTCATGATGCTTAGCGCACTTTTATGAATTATTTAAGTGCTCAGTGTAAAGGGGAGTACTGTGGACTGTGGAGTAAGGACTGCGGACTGTGGACTTTTGACAGGCTACTGTGACCAGCCTAAGCTTGTTTGTTTAGGTTTCTACCTTCAAGGTTAAATGTTAGCTGCCTCCTTCCCTTATCACCTGGCATTTCAGATAAGTTAAGAGAAACTCAAAGGTGCATGCTGTATCTCATTTTCACTTAATTTTGCAAGTATTAAATTTCACGAAAAATTATGAGCCATGTTTTGCGAATAAATGTAACTTTGACGTCAAAAAAGTAACAACAGAATTAACAATTTTATTGTAAACAACAGCAAACAAAGACAATTACAAGCAAAACAAGTTACACTGTAATCAAACCAAAGTAGAAGATTTTCCAAGGTCTAAATAGGTACCCACAAATAGTTACATAGTAAATATTTACTCTCTGATAAACTTTGTGGCTATAACGTTCTGTCAGACATCATAATTATAGAGGTCCTTTTTCTGTCAATGTTAATTATTATGAATATGTATACATGTATGTCTGGTATTAATTTTCACTATTTTAATCTTCGTGAGTATTCGGTTTTGCGATTATTAAATTTCGCGATTTTTATGGCAAAAATCGTGAAATTTAATACTCGCACAATTAAGTGAGAATTAAGGTATAATGCACAAAACTGAGAATTGCCATCTACCACTTCTTGCCTGATCACATTCAGCTTACAGTCATGTACAGTGTCTACTTTAGAGCTTGTTTGTGGCTTACAAAGTGATCACTTCTTGTGAACAAGTATTATAAGGGACCCAGTTAATCAGTGCCAAAACTTCCTGCTTTATATGAGTAGATCATAATATTATGTACATATATCTCTCTTTCAGCAGGCGGTTGAGATGACATGAAACCGTCTGAACTGGAATGGCTACAGCTTGTGATTCAAGTACCTCTGTGGAGAATCTTGGACAGGGTCTGTTTGGTGTTCAGTTGGAGGTACTGGATATATGTCCATAAGGAAGCAATATGACAAGAACAGAAACATTGTTCCTATTATTATACATTGTACTCACTCTATGTCTTCTCATTACTTTGCTAGGAGCCTTCAGTTAATATTGGAAATTAGTGCAACCTACAGATTAGTCTGTTATCTGCTAGCAGATTCGTGACTAATCTGCAGGTTGCCGACACGCAATGTACGATTTCCAAGAGCAATGTCAAACTCTTTTCTATGTAATGGTGTGTTTGTCAAACTACATGTATTTTCTTCAAAACATAGACTACGAGTAGTCCCCCATTTTTCCTCAGGGATAGTAGAGCGTGCGAAACGCGAGGGCGCGTGAAAATCACCCCACGCGAGAAAAGGTAACACGCGGTGGGGAGAGAGAAAAATGAGGGACTACAGACAAAGCCCAAGCTTTTGACCCTTCACGGCCGACTGATTTTGGAGTGTGAAGTTCGTATCCCCTTCCAAATCAATTAAGCAGATCCAATGGGATTCCTTCCCTTATTGAGCTGTCATTGCTCTTGTCATCGGTAAACTGCGGGGGATATTTATTGCAAGCAAAAGAAAACCCAGATACTAATTTTCTTCATGGCTGTTTCGCGAGAAGAACTTGATAGTGTAGGCAACACACAACTCTAACTCATGCCACAACGCTGCTTGTTCCAATGAATTTTTTTTTCTCTGACGGGTAGATTCTGCTCTGGAGGAAAACGTTTTGACTGAGCAAATGTGCTTTTTGCTGCTTATTTCATACTGAGAGGTCGTGACACGCATATTAATTTTCTGAGGTCATTGTTTATGGTTGGCATGATTTGCCCTCTGATGCAGGAGCATTTTCTTTGACCTCTTTTGAAAAGTAAAGTTCTTCAACGTGGCTAAATAAGGGTTTTGGGTTGTTTAATTTCTCCGGCGATTGCCTCCTGGATCTGAATAATTTTAAGCGATTTTCTTTTTGGCCGTGAATGTGACGGTTTTCTGCAATGTTTTGTCACGCTGGGCCCAGCTCATCAGCGTTTTTAGCAGGACGGATGGTGATATCCAAATCTCAAAGAATGGATTGCAGCTTAAACTAAAACTACATTAACTATAGAGAATTGCGATGTGACTCAGTCATGACTGCTCATGAATTTTAACTGCCGCTTGTTTTTCTGGAGATAATGTGAATCTTTGGACTGGAGCACGTAGTTCCTCCCTTGGTGATAACTTTTGAATTAGCTTAACAGCCTTGCGACTGTTCTGTTATTCCCACTTCGTGATCAGGCAAGACCATGGTTTCGGTTCCCCACGCGAACCTCACCAGTTGCCGGGTTGGCTCTCTGCTTAGTTGCTCCTACAAGAGCAACTCTAGTTAATTGTTCTGTGCTGTTATTTGTTCTGCTCTAGTTGTTTGTTCTGTAAATTG